ACAAAATGATGTATATTTACAAGAAAATGCATGAAAACACATTACACAGGGTATCTTTCAGTGACATGACTTAAAAATACGTCCCAGTTATAATGAGGAGTATCATTTGCTAAGTTAGACTACTTTCTGTACATGTATCCACTAAGGTGGCCAAAGATGAGCTGTCTTTGTGAATTGTTTGTCTCTTATTCTCTTGTGCAGTCTTCCCCAAAAGCCCTCGGTTGAATTACTATGGTTTCCAGTAAGAGGATCGACGGCTACTTACCAGGAAAATGGGAGTAATAAAACAAATTAAAATAATGACATCAACTCTAAATCTATCCTTAGTCGTAACCCTAAACTTAATGCTGACCCTTACCCTAAACTTAATACTAACCCTAATTACAACCCTTATCCTAACCGTAAACCTAATCCTAATGCTAATTATGACACTGATATTAACCCTAGCCCAAATACTTACCTTAATTCTAATCGTAACTCTAACAAGCTAATACCAATTTATCCCAACAATACATAAGGACGGGATCTGAGTGAAATTTGCTGCTTAGTTGATGAATAGCGTTGATATTTCAGCTATCATAATGACAGGTACCGTCAGCTAACGACTAGCATGCGTTCAAGGCCATTGGAGCGTTCGCACTCCTAGCACTTTATTGCTGAACTATGACACTCCTCAAAACAGATATCTAACTCATGTCTGAAAAATCATTCTTCCCAGTGATCATGGTCTCATGAACAATTGCCGGCAGTTGTTACGGCCGTAACATTAACCGTCGTCAGTAGTCAACTTTAGACCATACAATCTCTAACAATTCACAAATATAAGACTCTTGAGGTCTGCGAACAAAATTAAAAGTCTTTTCTGTACATAATTTCTCTTAGTTCATTTCTTTTTCGTAAAACTTCATATGGCAGACCAAAATAGTCGTACTCATTATCCCGAAAATAATACTCACAAATATCATTTCTTTCCAATGCATAAGCCCAAAACTATCTAAATACACCGCATTTGCTCAAAAACAGACTCTAAGAACGCCCCTTGAGCATGAACACGATAACATATAATGTGCGCGAAAATACAGGCATACAGTCCATAATCTGTTGTGCCCGCGAGTGAAATAAACAAGTGATTCACTCGCTTATGATTTGCCAGTTTTTCATTAGATTTGTGGTAATTCCAAACATTATTTAGCCTCTTGGTGAAGTTCGCAATTACCAGGAGCGTTTCATCGAGTCCGGTGCATAACTGACAACACATACTATTACAGCTCAGGTGAGAAATAATATACCAGTGGATTTATTTGCTGAATTCAATGGATTCATCCCATACGAAAATCTAAGGACTTGACAGGAGTGTCAAGAATGCACCCAATGTTCCGAAGAGGTGATAACTTTATGCAATTTCAATTATTGCCTGACTGTTATTTTCAGATCCTCAAATTAGTGTAAGATACACAGCAGTTTGGTTAATCGTGATGAAAACGGCATGGTTAAAGCAGCTTATAAGTACCTAAATATACTGTGTTCTTGTCACAAAGATGGGAAAGCAGGCATCAAACGTTACAGTAAGCAGCGTTATACTAGAAGGCTTCATGTTTCTAGTTGAAACACACTGGGTCTCCATTCATTTTCAGAGGTAATCTTGAGTTCAGTTGGAATAAACTAGTTGACCCCATCAGTGTTGATATAATACAGCATTGTAAATAAGTAAATACCTCTTTCATAAGATTAGGTGATATATTTAATTGATATGATTGTATTATTAGCAGTCGTCTATCTAAGTTAATGATGAATTCGTTGCGATAATAATACCTATTATTGTTTTTATGGTCACTGTGAACATTATTATTGCTGCTGTCAAGACTCTCATTATTTGCCATGAAGCCGTTGTCATTTTTATTAAAATCTTTGTACAAGTTTTGGAAACTACTGCACAACTTATTGTTAAATAATTTTATCATTTCTTGATGTTTCGATGGATCTACTACATATCGACCAACGAAAAATTGCGATGTCCCTTAAGTTTAGCGAAATTATTTAGCTGCTCATATGCATTTATTGTTTGCAAAATGATTGCTTGGTAATGCTTATCAAGCTGATGCCTGGAATAATTTTTCAAATCATGCATGCACTACCTTTGTTAATAGTGCTTTTCTGAAACCCTTTCAGACTTATGGAGAAATATGAATGTGCTGTGTACTCAGACGGAACTAACTGACAGTAACAGAGGACTATTCATCTGAATTATCTGTACATCTGAAATCTAAATTTTGTTTAATGAACGCTTTTTCAGTGAATCCGTGTTCCTTATGTTGTGATGCGATTGTGTTCCAGTAAAATTAGTAACAAGTGCTAAGGTATGAATGGAGAGTAAAGTATTAGGAATAAATGCGGCGTCTGGGAAACATTTTTACGTGATTAGATGAACAGATAGAAACGTACCGTGTTCTGTGGCTGAGAACCGTAGGCATTTTGTTTTCAATTATTATAACAACCGTAGTTGCACTGAGTTATAAGTCAAACAGTATAGGCACAGTCTATCCTCAAAGTTCATTGCGACACGTAGAAATCACAAGCACACTATCTCAGGTGAACTTATTTTTACTTTGTGATTATGAATCGCGAATCAGTTTATGTGTTCTGCTAAGACGATAGATAACTCGAAAAGGCTTTTTAATCGCAATACCTATCCTGAGATTTGGACATATTTACTTTATTTAACTACAACATAATCCATTTACCAATGAACTTCTCCGAATATCTACTCTCACTTAGTATTTCAAAGATGGTCTCATACACTCTGAACCTTACAACTTACTCAAAGGCTAATATTTGGTCTTATCAAGTGGGATATGCAAATGAACAACGAGGGATAAATTTATTAATGAATTAACATGTAATAAAAAATCCTAGACACTGTGGAAATCTTCTTTATTACACAACTCCATGAAATCCCCGAAATTAGCTATCACCTGAAAAAGAAATTATGCATTCCAAAGATATAGACACTGTTACCATTATAAATACAAAATCCAAGTGAAATAAAATACCATATAGTGCATCAAATTGTCATTTTTACGTCAGTCAATATTTTTCAAGCAGAAAAACTGAGCACTGAACCTGCCTGTAAACACCAAGTCTATGCAGCAAAAGAGGTAAATACCATGTCAAAATAATTCCAGAGTCTTTCCATAGATTTCCTTTAAAGATGCAAGTGGGGGAGCTTTGAGACCATCAGCAAAAGTACTACAACAAATTAAGTGAAAATAATTATAATCATAATAATTTATATTTCGTATAAACGGGTAAGTTTACAAGAAACACATGCCACTTTTACAGGCACGATCAGTAATGCTAGAAATTACAATCCTGAAGTAGCATAAATTAATACTTTTTCAAATGTTTGAATTGTTCAATTATTGTACAAGCAATCAGAACAGGTTCTTATAAATATTAAATTGTAAACCGTTTACTAAGGTCACCATCAAAGTTGAGCAAAAACCCAAACTTCGTTCCGTTTCCTGCTGATCGTTATGGTCAACCAGTGAACAGCGTAAATCTGGGTGAGTGCTATGCCACCACGTGATTGAACGTTATTTCAGGAAGGGGAAAAAATTCTGCGCAGCTGCAAAATGGTATAAAATGCGATTATGAATAATACATTATTGGAAGTAAATTTACAAGGTAAATACAAGAAGAAGAAGCTATATAGTACTTGAAATGATAGTTTACATTTGCAATGTTTAATGCTAACCATATTGGTCTGAGCATGGAAACTATCGCGTTTCCGATGAAAATATGGCTTTGTTCAAACATTGGTGTTGTTGTGTTTTTAATCAAAGCAACCAGACTTAAAGCAAGCAACAAATACGAATAAAGACCAAGTTTCAGCTTCAATGAAGGCCTAGGTAGCTAAGATCAGGCAGAGTATAATGGTGCGTAAATAAAAAGATTGTTGTAAGGTAGGCAAGTGATATTTAAGTGAGGGGTGAATTCAAAGATTTGGAACAATCTGACCTGTAAGATGTCTCACGAATTTCTGTAGGGCCTAACGGGTAGCATCTTGACAAGAAACTGAACAGGCTTTTCTCGGCGGTACGTTCGAAATTGGTGACATTTTTGCACGTGTTTGCTCTGATATTCATTTACTGCTTATAGTCATATAATCCTTGAAATTATGGTCCAAATCTCTAAAAAGCGTGTTCGTAGAAACACAGTTGTTTTAGATAGTGGCTCAACCTCGGTTATAATTGCATTACCACCCTGTAATACAGCATTAACTACTAGCTCACAAAACGGCTTGAGAGCAATTCTCACTCCTGTTATACAGGTGAAAGATGTTCTGTTAGAGAACTGTGAGTTCTGTAAATTAGACCTCCTTGTGAAAGATATCCAAAGGCAAGTAAATGAACTTCAGGAAAAATTAGGTCAGTTTGATAGCATGACACTGCCAATCTCAAATACCACGGAGAGCCGTTCTGATATTGGCCAGGTTAAGTCTTTACTGGATGTAACTCAAAACAAGCTCTCGGATTTAGACCCAATAGCCTGTCTGTTAAGAAAACATCCTAAAATATCTCCAGACACCCTAAATAAGACTGAAAATCTTATTGACTGCTTGGCTGCGGAGGTGATGAAGCGTATAACCTCTTTTCACCAGGCTATAGTTTACAACGTCCCAGATTCTCTGCCTCTGAAGACTGTAAAACACAAAATCCTGATTTGTTGCGGCATGGCTAGTGTTCCATGTGAATGCAAAAGACTTCGTAAAAATTCTAACCAGACTGACTGTCCCATCATTTTTAAATTCAGTAATTCCCTTGATTCTGGTAAGTTTATTAAATATCAGTATCACCTAAGACTGAACAGCAGTTATAAGTCTATAACCATAGCTCAGGATAAAACACCATGTCAGCTTAGAATTACCCAAAAACGATCGTGCACAGCAACAGTCACCTAATGCTAACATTAACATTCAACAAACCACACAACAGCCACGCATGGCAATGGAACTAGGAACTGATTTAGATACCGGTACCCCTGTAAATAACGTCTCACCGAAAGATGTTAAAATAGCTAGAACTGCTGCAAGCTATTCTAAGAAATTATTACCCAAACGTGGTAACGTCACCACGATGAACAAATTTCGCCGGGTTAAGACTAATGATGGGGAAGAATACTTTGTATTCAATAAGCTTGCTGAGAGTAAGACTGTCAAAAAACCCTCACCTCTTACGAAAAGCTCCTCTCGAAACAAAAGTATATCCGGAGGTTTTCAGTATGCTCCACCTTATAGAAAGTCAGGCCCCAAAACCCCCAAAGTCATACAACCAAAGCACCTTCCCTCTCAATTTCCTTTAAGTTATAAAACCAACACGAAATTGTGTACCGGTATGACAAATAGCACATAGATGGGTAGACCTTTCGATGCTGTGCATTTTAACCGTCAACCCAGGCCCAACCTCTACTATCCTTATATCCAGGAACACATGGTAAATTTTCCAAGTGTCCCGAATCACTGGTACGACCCATGGCACCTAGGACCACCTCACTGCACTCTAACCCCGATGTACAGACACCCATTCCGACCCCCGTATCATTCATAAACTCTTGCGTTGCTGACGCACAAACAGAATTAGGTTATGGTGATATGTTAAGGCAGTTTGTAGTATCCCGTGACTTATTCACGATATTGCTAATTAATACACGTTCCTTAATCAATAAGATATCTGAACTAAGGGCATTATTATTTATCGCCAAGCCTACTGTAGCTCTGATTACTGAATCATGGTGCTCATACTCTGTGCATATAGGCATAGGTGATTACACTGCACACCGCGCAAATAGAGACTGCAAGCGTGGTGGAGGATGTCTCATATATATATACATAACTCATTAGTAGCCAGTAAGGTGGAAGATGAAATACTGAACGAGGTACCTGATTCACTCTGGGTCGTCTTACAAGGAGATAAGTACAAGCTTCTCATAGGCTGTGTTTATCGAGCACCAAGCTCAACCAAAGAAACTGATGCGTTATTAGCTAAATCATTCGCACACGCCTCATCGTTTAGTACTAATTACAAAATAATTGCAGGGGACTTCAATCTTCCAGAAGTCAATTGGTTAAGTAGTTCCGGCCCCCAACGCTTCGACGAATTACTTGCCACTATCGATTGTTATGGATGGCAGCAGCACGTCCAGACACCTACTCGTGGTGACAACATGTTGGACCTTGTGTTTTGTCATGACACAATCCCAGTCTCCACTTATGTTGGTAAGGATAATCCTGCACAGCTACAAAGTGGTTTAAAATGCAATGATGTATAATACATTATTGGAAGTATATTTACAAGATAAATGCAAGAATATGTTATGCAGTACTTGATGTGATAGTGCCTATTTGCAGTGTATGATTCTAACCATATTGTTCTTACTGTAGAAAACTATGACGTTTTCGATGAAAATAAATTTATTCTCAAACATGAGTGCTGTAGTTATGTTTTTTAACCATCAGAGCAACCGAAATTTATGCGAGAGAAGAGTGTGAATGAGAAAAGAGAATGAAATGTAAATTTTAGCTTTACTAAAGGCCTAGGAAGTTGAGATAAAATAGAGTATAATAGTAATTAGGTAGAAGGATTATCGTGAAGTATATAAGTGATATTTTAGAGAGAAGTGGCTAGAAGGATTAAAACCTGTTCGATATAGTGACCTGTAGGATGTCTGGCGAACTTGTGTATGGCCCATGGGATAGCATCTTGACAAGAAACTGAGCAGGCTTGTAGATGTTAGGAGCGAAAGCATTATTTTTTTACAAGCTAAAACTGTACAGTCATTATTGTTTTAGTTTTTTAAATTTTTTTAAAGTCTAATTTTTTAAAATTTTTTTATACATTCAGTATCTAAACTCATGTTTAATTATCGAGCTGCCAAAATAATGCATGTTGCTGTCCTACAGATCGGAGCGATTCACATTTGTGACCACTACCAGATCTGCTGACCAGCATGCACCACCCTCCCTCCTTTTTTGACATTAAGCTCTGAGACCTTTTACAATGACTGCAGTTGTAATATTGGATTGCTTTGACTCCGTCCCAATCATACAGTATGCTGCACATTAACAGCTTTCATGACAAGTGCTTCCCATCAGGTCACATGGCACAATAATACCAGAGGACATTGTTAGCAGTGTTATCATCATACTAGTGAACAAGTGGATTACCACAAAAGACTAATAAATTAGGTTTCCCTTAAGAGTTATGAAGTATAATAATAGCTAATACTAGAGCAAATAAGTTATATTCTATTTAGCAGAGTAAAAAGTGTAGTGAAACAATTAGTGATAAAATTATGTATAATGATCCTGAAGAAAACAGCCGGTTAACAAAGCTAGTTATGCTAAATTTTCATGACCGATTTTCATACGGTGCGCAATAGATATTGCAAAGTAACCCTTCAACTTATATAACGTTAAAAATACTGCGAAATATTATAAAGATTATACGTTTTAGGAAGGTGTATGAGAAAAGGTGGTTATTCGCTGGGTAAAGTCATTCAGACACAACAAATAGCATTGTATTATTAACTGTATACACATTTGTAAAATATTAAAAGATGTGGTTGCTAATATAATTGTTTCTAGAAGTACTTATATTAACATAACTTACTGAAGACTATACAGCAAGGAAAATCAGTAAATTAGTTAAACGTTCGCTGCGTAAGTAGTAGAGTCGAGTCATATATAACTGACTGAGCTGAAGACTGGACCAGCTTTTACTTACCATTTTACCAACATTTGTGGTCCTTTAGACAAGCTAGGGTGGACATGTTAATGTGTCTCTCTAGGCTCCGTTTGAACCCACTGTGGTTTTCACAACATCTAATTTCAGATGGTAGTTGGTTCCAAAGAGTGCAATATTTAATGGTGAAAAAGTTTGCCCTAATGGATTTTCTGTGGGTAGCCACCTTGACAACGTAGTTGTGGTTTCGCAGCTGATACGATTTAATATTTTTCCACGTTATGGATGAGTTACTATAACAGTGTTTTCTTATGACTTTGAATAGTAGAAATAAGTTGCACTTCACTCTCCTTAACCGCAGAGGCTCTATATTCAGACTCATACACCTGTCAACATATTCCACTGGTTGGTCAAATCCTATTATGCGTTTCGTTAGGAATCTCTGAACACTCGATTTTTTTCGGTCTGCAGACCTTAGGTTACTATACAGGAGAGCACAATATTCATGTTTGGGGCGGATACACGTTCTATATATAGCTAATCTTGCTTCTTGGGTGTAGAAGTTACGCAGCACAAAGCCAATAAGTCGTTTACAGTCGGATACGACCTTATTTGCATGATCGGAAAAGGTTAGATCTGAGTATGTTATCCCGAGATCTGTGACAGTGTTCAGTTTCGAGAGGAGCTTACCGTACATATATAGGCACATTCTCGGTTTCCAGAGTCCCAGGTGGGCTATACCGCACTTGTCTGGGTTGAAAGTATCGAAGTATCAAAACAACCACGATAAACAGATATATTGCAAAATAAAAAGCCAGACTTTCCTTTACAGTGCTTGCTGTGGATAAAATCCTGAGTTCCACGTGGTTAGAGAGTGCATCAGAAGATTCCGGGTTGTAGATTTCACGGGTGAACACTATATGTAGTCTCAGGTGATACAATACAATCCTTGTTAAGTATGGATATGTGGATGGTGTGAGAGAAGCGGCTAATTTCCAAAATAATAAGGAAAAATGATTCACGCAGAAACTGAACACCTGTAGCGCAGTAGTTCAGCATGCGCCGCCCTCCCTCTTTTTTTGATGTTAAGCTCTGAGATATTTTCACAAACTGTAGTTGCAGTATTGCATTGCTTTAAGCTCGTCCCAATCATACAGTATGCTGCACATTAATAGCTTTCATGACAAACGCTTCCCATTAGGTCAGCAGATACATCGGTACCGGAGGATATTCTTGGCAGTATTACCTTTATACATGTATACAAGTATTTGTAACAAACGCTTCGGAAATTGCGTTTAAGGAGTATAAAGTATAGAAGTAGCTAGTATTACAGCAACTAAGTTGTAGTTTATTTAGCAGAGTAAAACGTGTAGTGTAATTAGCAAAACGAACTGGCCTGCCTCATTATATCGATGTCTAAAAGACACAAGAAGTCTTTATAATGTGTGTCTTTAACTAATTGGGCATTCTGTTAACGAAACAGCACGTATTTCAACTATTTGTAAGCTGGCCGTAAATTACGCCTGGATAAGGACACCATCATTTGGTACTTATGCTAAAACGACTTTATTTCACCGACTTTTAGCAGCAATGCAAGCATAAAAGGAATACTTACCTAATTTTGAGGTTTTTTTAATAAGTACTGTCTGTAGACATCAGGTGACCAAATGACCAATGGCCATATACAGGCTACCAAAAATACATCGTGATAGCCTTCATCCCCAATCATAATCACCAACACACACATGTAAATATGAATGGAAGTTTTCAAACCATAGTAGCCTATTAACTTGTTGATAGAAATTAGTCTATCAGGAGTTATGTAGTTTATAAGAAGCCCTAAACCGGACTGTCGTGCTTTCTTGCAGAAATTATTACTAAAAATTCCATCAGGAACTACCATTCACATTGTATGAACGGAAGCATCATTTAGCTAACACATGTCACCTTTAATCATGCGGAAAAAATCGTTTACATATATATATTTCCTATCTATGTAGGACACACTAGTTGTACAGGCATGGATAAGTATTATTTAAATTACATTAATTTGATTTATAGTGAAATTATATGGTTGCTGTCCTCTCTGACATCACTTAGTGAGTACATTCTGATAGCTAGTCATTCAATGGAGCACATAAGGAAATATAGAAATATTGTCTTCGCATTAACAAAAAAACCCAAGTATGTGTCGGATAAATTACAAATATTTGGGAAAAAATAAATCTTGAAGTCAATTCCTCCATATAACTTTGTTGTGTGCGGCATCGTATCTTGTTTTATGTTCAAATTGGGTAATAATTTAAAATAAGTGATTTATTTTTATGATTTTGACATCATTTTTATTGCAAGTAATACCAGATGTGAATTCAACTGAATGCAGATTAATATTGGTCATTGACAAGCAGATTTGTTTTACTGCACTCAAGTCATTCGTAGCCCGCCATTTGCCACTGCATGGTTGCTTCGTACGAGTAAGTTGATTAACACGTAGAAAGCTACTTCGGGTCAGTATCTATAGTTTTATGTGGCAGACAGTAACGAATAAGTTGATTTACTGAGCGCGTCGAGGTAACTAACAACCTAAATCCATAGCTTCCGCCATTCGCCATCATGTGATGACCTTGTTTGGATAAATGTACGCCAACATTCCTCCTCGCAGTGTAACACGG